TGGTATTTTAGTTTTAAAATACATCCATGACCAGATAAAAGGTCTGTACAGAAACTGACATGGCACTTACGGAGCCATATTTTAAAATTGGTACCTACAGTTACATTGCTTTTAATAATACGGCCTCTCCTTAGTACCCTGACACAAGGGAAAAATCATGAAGAGATCCAGTTCGTCTTGAATTCACCACGAGCAAGGAAACGGAGGAGCGGGAACTATGGGCTGACTAAATATTCTGGGTCCCGGGCCGTGGTTTCACGCCGGTGTGCCAACAGTGATTTTCTTTTGTAACTTAGGGACGCATCAGCTTCTAGTATGTTTTTCCTGCTTCCTCAACTTTTATTATGTCACAAGCAACTAACCATTTCCTCGCCCCTTCTCCCTCTTCCCCACAGTGTTCTTTCTGACAGAGTTAAAGTGTCACATCACAACCCAATATTGATTTCCCATCTGTCCCTGTCAGCTGGCATTGTCCCTCATGAGGGCTGTATCTGCTGTGTTGCTGCTGGGGAAGCCCTTGACCACTGGTTTGATGTGACCCCTTCCACAGAACTACACCCTAATTTGACTGAAAGAACCAAGTAGAGAAAAGATACTAAAGAAGCCCTCGCATTATTCAGAAACTTCAGCCAGCCTGAGAATAAAAGATGTGTCATCTCAAAAACAGCAAGCAGATAGGAGATAAATCACCAGCAAGTAGCTGCTTGTAATCGCTCCCACTTTCTGCCTCTGTGTTTTCAGATAAATTGTAACCAAGGATATTGACATAGCTTTGTTTTTTGAGAAAATAGCAATGAGATAATATCCAAACAATAAAGGTAGAGAAAAAGACAATCTTTTCATTTGAGCTATGTCACAGTGTTATACAAGTGAAGTCTGACATTGCTCATCTCTTCGAATTGTCAGAGTGTGGAAGACTATCCTAGATAACATAAAAATTCGAGATTTTCCTGTTAACAGGAAAGCAATGCTGAACATATTCTATCACTCATTGCGGATTGACCTCAGTTCTGGGAAACCTGATTCCTGATGAAGCCTAAGGTGCCTGTCCTTGCCACTGGCTTGATTCAGGGCCGAGGCTGCGCACTAACAAGCCGCCCCAGGATTCTCGTGCAAGGTGGGCTTATAAACATCCTTAACGTGTCCATAGCACCTTTCGTTGTCCTAGATAGAAGAGCTTTATAAAACCCACTTAATTCACCAAGCTTCGTACACTTGGAAGGGCAGGCGTATTTACAGCCCTACATGTGGCTAACCGGCAAGCAGCCAGGTGTGTGACTTAATAGAATCCAGGTTTTAACAGCCTAGTTTTTGAACTTTTACATACCCACAGAAAGGCAAGGGCGAGGTGAAGAATCTCTGAGTCCTGGGCAAAGTCTCAGAATTGTGAGTTAGGTTAAGAATGCTCACAGCAAAGAAGGATGTCATTGCCAACACCCAGAACAACTCTGGCTATCTCTGCTTGTGCAAGGGTTTAGATCCAATTAGGAGAGGATCCCCCCACCTCCATGCTTTGGCAAGAGGTTCCAAATCACTTGGCAAAAGCCTCTGTGTGGCATGCCGAATGAAATTTATAGAATTCATAGCAAGAAGTAGGTTTGAGGCTGGCCGGGCGTGGCTCAGCAGTTGAGCATGGACCTAGGACCCAGGAGATTGTGGTTCGATTCCCAGTCAGGACACATGCAAGGGTTGCCGGCTTGATCCCCAGTCAGGGGCATGCAGGAGGCAGCCGATCAAATGACTCATCATTGATGTTTCTATCTCTCCCTCTCCCTCTCCCTTCCTCTCTCTGAACTCAATAAAGATATTTTTTTTAAAAGTAGGTTTGATATTTTAAAATATCATTAATATATTTTTAAATAAAACCCCACACTGCACCAGTGTTCACATCCCCTGAGGATGTGAAGCACTTTGGGAAGTGTGTAACCTCTTTCAGGCTCACACTGAGACAAAAACATCATTCTTGGAATCATTTTGCTTACTGGGGAAATCTGGATGCCAGTTACGGAAGAGGGCAAAGATCTTTGTGAATAAAGCAGTTTTCCAACAGAAACCGCACTGTCAGAAACACGGCGAGCAGAGGCACAAATGATATGAGCCTGAAGAGTTTGTCCCTGGACATGGGTTTTCCCTCAGTGAACGCAAAAGGTACAGGGTCGCGGGGAGATGGTGAGTGTCTGCCTCGTGTAATAGGAACTTACACTGACTTGCTCGTGCAGCTGAGCAACCTTGGCACAAATCTTCTCACTTCTCTCAGCCTCAGTTTCCTCATATGTAAACAAGAATAATATCTGCTCTCATGCGGTTGTTGAAAATGCTAAATGAAATAAATGTTTGTAAAGTGCCTATTAGGATTCCAATAAATCACAAAATGTATTTTTTGTCATTTCTTCCATGTTCCTCATGTAACCCAAGCCCACTGAACCCTTTTAGGCCTGGAAAGAACATTGCTATGGGGTGTAATACTGGGCATCCCACATTCCCAGGTGACAGAGCCTTGCAATAAATGAGGACATAGAGGAAGAAATAGTTGCTATGGGAAGGTGGGTCAAGGACCATTGGTCCCCACCCATTCTCCTCCCTCCCCCTAGGGCAGTAGTGAGATAATGCCCTCCTCCCAGGGCATTATTGCTAGCACTTTTTCTTCAATGGGTAGAGCTCTAGGAAGCAAATTTGAGCTCAATTTAAAGACTATCAAAATGATTACAGCTGTCTGACAATAGGACACGGCTTTTAGTAAAAAGTAAACCTTTAGTACTGGAGGTGGGATTTTCCTACCACTTGAGGTATTCAAGTAAATGGTGAATGTAATACATCTTTAAACTTATTAAATGCACTATGCTTTCACATGCACTACCTCATTAAGTCCTCCAGATAAACCTATGAATTTGATATTTGTATCCCATTTTACAGATGAGGCCAACAGTGCTTAAGTAATTGACCACATCCTGGTGGATGACCGGCTCTGAGGGCTGGCGCAGAGTGATATCATAGGTAGTACTTAACATGAATCAGTCATAGCAACTCTATATATGACTGATACTATGCAGGGATATTCTAGAGTGTAGACTAGGTGGATATATGGCAAGATGACAACCAGGAGAGCCCACTCAATCCCAGAATCCTGCCATTCCAATTTCTAGAATTATGATCTTTTCTTAAATAGACTTAGTCTGATTTTAAAACTCCCATATAAGAGATAGCACTATTAAGGTTTTTGTTCTTTTTTTGTGAAGTTTTACTTAAATCAATGCAGCAGAAAAGCTAGAACATCAGTTAAATCTTTCCTAGGCTGAATTTATTGATGCTTAGTATTTGCCAGGCAAAACCTAAGTACATAACATAAACCTGCCATGTAGAGTTCTCACAACAACCCTGTGGGATTAGTACTGTTATTTTTCTCTTGCTTATGAAGAAACTGAGGCAGAAAGAACTGAAATAGTTTTCTGAAGGACACACAATTAGGAAGAGTAGAACTGAGAATCAAAACCAGGTGAATTTAACCCCAGAATATGCAATCTTGATCACTACACTAGATGGTAGGGTGGGCAAATGTAGGTTTACAGTTGTTCATATGAAAATAGTACAATAATTAATAAATTAAGACAAGAATAAACTCTGTGCTTGGCATACTCACAACTGTAAACCTACTTCTGCCTCACCATTTGTAGTATTATAATTCATTTTAAGTAAGATAAATTTTAGAGTTATAATAATGATAAAAGTCACAACTGAGAACATGAATGTGTGAATAAACACGGTTGGTGAAGAATTTTTAGCCAATTCAAAATCAGCTTTTTCATATAAATTTTATCCGAGGCTAATACTACTTTTTATTTAAAGCCTTCACCTTTTGCATTGTTTAAAATTGTTAGCACGTGCCATATTAATTAGAACATAAAATGTAAAAATAATGCCATTCTGAAACACTTTTCAATATTTAAGCCTGGAACAGAAAAAAATTATTTATCTTTCTATTTTCATTTTCATTGGCTCACAGGAAAAATAAAATTGGATTAACAATTTAATCTTCTCATCCCATCCTCAATTAGAAATTTGAAGCACTCTGGTCATTTGTTATAAAAATAATTTAAAAATAAGGATGCAGCATATTTTTATGCATAATATTTAAATTATGTATAATATTTAAATTATATGTTATAGATCATTTGTTGTAAAAATAATTTAAAAGAACGCAGCATACTTTTGTGTGTAATATTTAAATTATGTGTAATATTTAAATTATGTTATAATTTAGGTCTGTATTATGGACAATTAAGAAAGAGGGCTAGAGAGAAAAAGAAAACAAAGAAAGACACACAAGACATGAGGAGACAGACAGATGCAGATAAACTAAGGGAAAAACCTAGTGAAATGTAAGTGAATAGTAAAGAAAAATTACACCCATCCACACCCCATGGATATGCCTCCTTAGGAAAGAGACACGGGAAGTTGATACTTAATGGGTGTACAGCAAATGATTCAGAGTAAAGGATTCATTAATGAGGAAGTAAACCCAGGGTATAGATTTTCATTACAGTACTTCATATTCCCATTTTATGGATTTCTCGTCTTTCAAAGCTTTCACCACTCCCAGCACAACCTATTGACATTTAGCAGTTAGACCAAAGGGAGTTAAAGAGAAGTTGATATTCATTAAAAATGAACATGATCAGGTCATTATCATAACCAATGATCAGGTAAATTTACACGAGTATTGTAAGTGATCAGTTAGGATCTCTTACTCAGATAATTAGCCTTCAAAGAGGGTACTAAACAGAATTATAACTCCTCAATTTTACAGCCGCCCATTTTCCACCACAAAACAGTTTGGTTGTTAGATCTCCATTGATCTCATGAACAATCATTTTCAAGTATTAAAAAGACACAAAAACTCTATCTTTTTGTACTTCAAAATCCATTGCTCTTCTACATAAATCAGACTAAATTACCCTTATTGCTCTAGCTGGTGTGCACCAGACAGCAAGCCTCCTCAGTACCTGTTGTTTATCCAGACGCATCCTCTTGGCGGCATTTCTACTCTCACTTTCACAGGCTGAAGCCAAGATACTCTCTGCAACTGCTGAAGTAAGGTGAGAAGGAATAGGTCGAGACTAAAAAAAAAAGAGAGAGAGAGAAACATGAAAAAATTATCAACAGTATCATTCACTGGCCAATGCTATTCTCAGAAGAGCTCAGAGGATATCCATTTATTTCAACTCAACTTATTTGAATAAAAAGAGGAAATGGAAATTGCATAGATGAAAAATGAAAGCTAGTTAGAGGTTAAAGCTCTAGTTGCTACACAGATCCATTCTTCATTCCTCTAACTCCGCTGTCATGAGTATTTAGTCTGGGCCATTAGGCTGGAGTTTGAACAGGCAGTGGAAACAAATGCTGACTGGTTTTGCAAATAAAACAAGTTCTATAGTTCTTTTATAACATATGACAAAACAAAAAAACAAGCGACAGTGCTGCAACAGAGTTGGGCAAAACTTGACAGACACTCAGACCATGTCAAACAATATTAATATGAAATACTATAAAGAACTACAATCTAAGTTGTGACAACTGATACGATTAAATCTTTTCAAATACTTCAATTTAAATACAAACTGAAAAGCCAGTAGTTAATACAACAAAAATTTTGATGTTTTAGATGTGAGATGTATTGTGTGCCTACATGTTTTATTTATAAGATGAGCTAATATTAATTTTAGGTACATGTTAAAAATCCATCTTCTGTGTAGCCCACATAGAAATTAACCCCCCCGACTAAACTCCTAATTAATTAAAAATTATTTCCATCTCTTCTTATCATTTGTGATAATCAGAAAAGTTTTCCATTCTCTTTTCCCATAATTACATACAAAATCATCTCACTGAGAGATGAAGTGCTTAATGATATTGAACAGTTTTTTAATCAAGATAAGCAAATGAAAGATAAGAAATAACATGAAAATTAAACCAGATGAGATAGTGAAATATGAAATTACAAAATAAAAGGTCCTTTGGGAATCTAGCATATATAGCGGCGTGCCGCCTTAGGGTTTTCAGTCTCAATCTAAAATATTACAGATGCCATTTGTTAGAGGCCTCTGAACTAATAGAGACCTGCCCTTTATTTTTTTCTGGTAAATGAATGAATATGAGCATAACTTTATGGTACTTAATTCATTTGGCTAACTCTGGAGTGTAAAATGTGCTGTAACAAACTGAATCCTGGGTTTTATGTCTCAAACAATATTCTAGAACAGCTAACTTCAGACCAGTTTTTAACAGACACCCCTCAGTGGGATTTGTCTGGAGGAGGAGAGCAGCTCTGGAAGTGACTTCTGCAGCTGCCTCAAAGCTGCCCCCAAAGCAAGCTCGGTGGGGCACAGGCCCCATCTGCTAACCCTGTGAGACGCCTGAACTGACGGCGAGGCAGCTCTGACAAGAAAGCATGAGGATATTTTGAATGTCATTTTTGCAAAAGAGAGAGAAGAGAGACTCTGAGGTGGCAGGGAAAATGCAGGAGCAGCGTTTTGAGAAGGAAATTAGAAAGCTAGGACCGCGTGCCGGGAAGAGAGGGGACGGCTAAATGAGGTAAATCTAAAAGAAATTGCCATAAAGATATAAATCTCATTCTGTTTCTTGATTTCATTCTGTCCTTCAATGAGTATGAATAAGATAGTTTAGCCCAGAATAAGAAATATATTAAGCTACAAAATCAGTGTCTCATTAAAAGATAGCCACATCATGGCTTAAAAAATGTAACCTAAACCACATGGGACTTAGGTACACAATGTTGTCCTTTTTTGACTGAATTATGTTTTGAAGCAAAGGTATTGTGGGAAAATTGGAATAAGAAGATTCCATTATAAAAAAAAGAAAACTATATACTTGATTGTAGCTAGCATTGTTCAGATATAAGTGCACATTCACACCTTTATAAACTATATTATTAGACCCTTCATCTGGTTCTAGGGACTAAATTAAGAGACTGTAAATAGAATAATTATTGATAGCACATGAAACTCAAAGAGATGTAGTTCTGTTCATTAACTTTATTTTCCTCTTTTTATTGGTTATCTCTATTCAAAATTAGGAATAATTTTGAAACTATATATAAATATATACTATGTAATTTTTAGACTGATTAAATTGAATAATAAACAGATTCCTTAAATGCATAAAAAATTCATTGAACAGAGAGAATGCAAGGTAATATATCCTTTCAATTAAAATCAGTGGCATTTCTTCTCAAATTCTGTTTTAATTTTTAAAAATAAAATGGAAAATGACTTTTACTAGAACAGTACAACTTGTTATACATGATAATTTATATAATTCTCCTTTCAGAGAAAAATGATAGAGTTGGGCCTTTCCCAGATATATTAAATTGGTCTTCTCAAAAACTAGAATAATGTCCATGCTGAGTGGACTTAGATATTTTTAAAGGTTACTGGATAACCTAATATGTCAAGATTTTATTAAAAAATCAACTTCGAGATAATTGGAAAGAATGCACTATTGCTTTAAGTGGAGAAAATAAGTAGAAGCAAAGATATATGATGAGCCATTGCCAGTAGGTAAATCGTATAATTTTGAAAATAGAGTTGTTCTGAGTTTACTATAGAATTATAATTTAGTGACTGTAAATAGCTATAGAAATCATTCAGAACAAGTTTCTTAAAGTTTGAAGAAATTGCAGCCCGAACAGATTAAGTAATTTGTCAAAGGACAAATTGAGCTAGATATAGAACCCGTTTAATGTCTCCCAGTTCTCAACTCTTTCACTCTCTTTACATAATTTGTCATTAATAATATAAAATATCCAAGAAAAAATCCTGACATACAAACGTTTGTGCTTAACTAAAAAATAAGCCAACCAAATATAGCCCTTTAACTATTATAATCATAACAACTGATTCAAGCTCATTGAAGAGAAGGGAAAAAATGAATTTTTAAAAATCTGTATTACAGTTCAAAGAATATATATTTTCAAAGAATTTATTATATCTCAAATATATAATAAAATATGTACTTCGAAGTAGAAAACCAGAACCATAATTTAATCTTTAAATATTAATAACTAACTTATATTGAGTGCTTAGGATGTGCAGGCATTAATACAAAAAGCTTAGATTCATTATATAATTTAGTCTTCCAAACAACCCTTGAGAAAATTACTTATATATTATTCATATTTTAGAAAAAAAATAAATTGAAGTTATGAGAGATTATGTAATTTGACCAAGATCACACAACTGTTTGTGGAAACACCTGGACTGGTATCTACATCTGATGATAAATTGGGACTAATCCCTAGTAAAGAATTACATATTCTCGTTTTACAAGCCGGGCTTTGGTGAGCTTAAATAAAGCTAGAGCTCTTACATACTACACATTCCTGGGGAGGAATCCATTTACAGCAAAACCCATTTCACACTTAAGCAAAGAATATACTAAGATCTTTAATTCCTCTTTTTAAAGTGATTGAAATCCTAATATATCTCATTATTAATTCTTTAACCACCCCCCCACTAACAGCACAAAGATAATATCTAACTTATCTAAGTTCTGCCACATGTTTCAACCCGATGCAATCTAAATTCACAGGATTTTCATGTTGGAACAACCGAAAGTGGCAAGAAATTACTGTCCATGAGACATAATAAAGCTGAGCTTCGTACCCAAAGTGAGAAAGGCCAGTGGAGAGGCTCTTTCCCCCTGGGGAGGCAATCCTGCTAAAAATCCCCCAGGGCCTAATATTGATGAGCTAATAATCAATGCCAGTGCTCCTCAGTGCACACGGAGCTCAGCTAGGCTGCACCCGTTAGAAGACACTAAATATGAAAGTCTTATTGATATTTTCCTCCGTAGTTTGGCTTTTATATATATTTTTATAGCTCAAAAGTACTTACTAAGGAAATTAATCTTTTTTCCTTCTTTGAAAAACAATTTTATCACAGAGAACTTTAAAACTATTATTTAGTCTGAGTTCTGAGAACCATCTTCATGGGAACTCTCCTTTCCTTCACCACATTTGATTAGTAGAGAGCTTATTCTAAGTATCACTGCTTTAGGTCTCCTGGCAGACAATTAGCAAAATGTGTTAAGGGCTATAGACATGGATTCCTTCAGAGACGAGAGCTAAAGATACCCTTACAGCAGTAAGAGTGGCCATAGAACACAGAAGCTTCCAGGTAATAACTTGAGATAAAAAAATATTTTGCCAAAAAAATCAAATGCAAAGAATTCCAAGGATAATTTATGAAAACAATACTTCTCCTGGTTGAATAGAGCTGAGTAAATATGCTATTTATTAATATGTATATTTCAATATGTATATCTTAATGTATCTTAATATACATATTAGATTTTTAAATTATTCAAAATGTATATAATCTTACACTCTATATGACTTATACCTAGATTGAGAAGATTTGATACCGATTTCTTTCCCAGGATATAATTATAATGCTAAGCACCCCTCACTAATTGTCACTTCTTAATTAACTGTCATTCTCAACTGGAATGTGCTGATCTTTTCCCAGCACTGTTCTTATCATAATAATGATCTAGACCCAAATCAGGGTGGCTGTTACATTAAACATATGGCTAAACTGTCACATGGTGCTTTTGGAGTTCAAAAAATTCACACTTTAATTGGGACTTCAGATGTGATTGCTGTTGGCACAATGTAAATGTGTGTTTCCTTATATGTGCATGTAGATCTTACCACCACACCAACAAACTCTTCCAGTTTTTGGTCTTAAAACTACAAACTAAACAATGTTCGAGTCCTCTGAACTACTGCTGTATATTTAAGATGCTTTAGGATTTTTAAAATTATAAAAATGTACAAAGGAATTTAAAAAATGTAAGATTCTGTTCACGGGTCAATGTGGCAACACCCTCTAGACTCTAGTATTTCAGTATAGCTTAATCAAGTATTAGACAAGGCCAGATTGGGAGCAACAGTGACACACACCCAAGGTTATAAGTAGAATGAGCTCTTTCAAAATAATTAGAGCAAAAGATTCAGTAGTCAGAGTTTAGATAGGGCCCTAAATTAAAGTGGTTTCTTCTAATCTTGATATTTTCTAAAAATATATAATTTAAGAAT